AAAAAAAAAACTGGAGAGCAGTAGATCAGAGGAGAAACAAGAAACGTGGCAGGAACAGGGAAACAATGACATTTTATGTGTGAAGCGTTAAGAGATATGTTGATCAATATTTTTGTCTTTTTCTTTTAATATTTTGTCTTGATGGATGCCACTTTGTCTGGCACCCCTGCACCCACCCCCATTACCAGTCCCTGTGTAATCTACTTACTATACAGTCTTTAAGAACTGTGTTAATTGTTCTAATGTTTATTTCTTTCACTCTCTTGAATATACATTTCAGATATGCTTTTAGATGTAGTACATCAAAGAACCCAATCAGTAATGCGGCTACATTTTTATTTCTCCTGTAGTCGCTTTTTTTTTTTATTGTTTTTTAACATATTTAAATCTTAGTCAGATTTGAAAACACCCAATGACCTTTCTGCAGATGAGGTTTTGCAGCAAAGTGGAGAAAATAACATATCGAGTGTAATACACAAGAACACACACACTTCCTCTTTCCTCCAACGAGCAGACATAAAACCGCACTGCCAGTGGCAGAGACAACAGGAAATAGCTAAGTTGGTGTTTTTGTGAATTAACTTGGGGGCATTTGTAGTTGAAAGGTGTCTGGACATAATCTGAAAAATCATCTTCCAAAATCTGTGTTTTTCTTCTTCTTCTTCTTCTTCTTCTTCTTCTTCTTATTATTATTATTATTATTATTATTATATAATGCAAAAACAAACAAAAAATCATAATTGATCTCCTTAAAATCGTTTTCAGCCATAGTGACAATTTTGTGTCTTTAGTGATTGATGCAGATCTGCTTTTATTTCCTGTAGAAATGCATATCTCTTTAAAACTGTGTAAAAAATATTGTCAGCGGAATCTTGCTGTGAAAATGAATTCTGTGCTGACTCTCATCCCTGCAGCGTTTAAACATTTTTTTTTTTTTTTTTTTTTTAGAGCTAACAATGGTGGCACAAGATTTTCCCCTCTGAGCTCTCGCTTCCACACGGAGCGAGGCGAAGGGAAGGAGTTTCCCTTCTCCGCCTCATTTAGGTGGGCTCTTCAGCAGGTTTGCAGGGGATCACCGGGAGCCATTTGAGGATTGCGGGGCTGGCCCTCATCGGCTGTTTCCGTCAGCGTGTGAGCAGCCGCTGCTGTATTTGTGGCTCTGGGAAATGCGGCAGCAGTCACAGATGAGCAACATCTGATCCCGGGCGATCAGTATTTGCCGTATCATTTCCCATTTGCGTGCCGTTGTGCGATGACTCACAGCGACAATGTGTCAAGAAGTCCCAGTTTAGAGACTGAAACTGGTGACGGAAAGGCCGACATGTCTGCTTGAATGCGTTTGTGTCAGTTTAAAGCTTGGGGGGCGGGGGGGTGCAGTCTTTATTATTAACGTTTGGCTTGCATTTTAATTTTTTTTTTTAAATTATCATTATGAGCACATGATAAAATCTGCCATTAGACTTGTTTTATCTAAAGAAAACATTCCAACATTGCCTTTGATTCCCCTCACCCCCAATTAGAAGCCAGCTAAACATGCAGTAAACACTCAGATAATAGCGTTTACTTACACTTTAAGGCTTTACTTGGAATAAAGCCAAACTGGGTTTTTAGCTCTTTGCGTCTGTGAGCGTTTGTGCGCGCAGTCCTTTAGGGCACATGATGGTGACTTACACAGGAAACCCCAAACAGATCAAGCAGGAGATTTGGGTGGCGATAAAAGCCGAAACCTCAAACTTCCGTCACCGTGCACATGATGTTTTTCCTCCTGTTTCAGCGATGAACTCGATGCCACACGTTAACGACCAAAAGTTGACTTTTTCAGCAGGGGCGCGTCACTTTCTCTTTCTTTAATTGAGAGCTCTCTAAAAAGCGAAAAGAAAGAAAAAGAAAAAAAAGCATCTCGCTTTAGAAACCGGAGCTATAAAGCAGCTAGCGCTCATGACGAGTGTCGGGCAGAGTTCAGTTTAGCTCTGAGGCCGTTTCCTGCTCTGCCATGCATTGCATCCCTTAGTTTGCATCGCATCCAGGTTTTTCTTCCTTTTGTCACAGTGGGACATGCTAATCAATAAGCAATTAAAAAGGCTAAAAGACAAAGGGGTTACACTGCTTAGCTACAAACAGAGACAGATTAATGAGGATGTGAGCCCTTTGGCTAGCTTAACTGGACCATCCACCCAATTTTCTTTTACACATGCAAATTATAATAAATCAATGTTGAGGTACACATCAACTTCATGATGCGTAGGCTTTGTTTTTTCCTTTCTTTGAGCTCCTTATAACCAAGACTTCCTTTGTACTAATGTCTTCATCCACACACAAAATAAGACCTGACATATACCAAAAGCATTAGCAATGAGTACTTAGCCGTTTTATTCTTTTACCCCAAAATTATAATCCTGAGAAACCAATTGGCCTTCAGAAGTCTCCAGGAGTCCAACTGTGTGTAATTAGATCTCAGTATAAATCGAGTTGCTCTGTGAAAGACTCCATTTTTTTTTTTCATTAGAGAACGTTAGTATATTAGTGGAGTCACGAAGACCGAGGAACAGAGCAGAAACATCAGGTAGAGAGTTTAAAGCTGAGTTATGTTATAGGATCGTTTCCAAGGCTTTCAACATCTCGTGTACAAAAATAGAAAGTTTGAAGCAGCTACAAACCCACCAAAAAATGGCCGTCCTCCTGAACCCACAGGCCGGGCAAGCTATTGATCAGAGAAGCAGCCATGCTAGCTCTTAGGTGGGAGAATCTGTCAATAGGATGATTATTAGATGGCCTTTATGAAAGACTGACAAGGCTGTGAAGTTAAAAAAAAATATATCTTTAAAGGGGGAAGGTTATGTAAAATCAACTTTTTTTTCTTTTTTTTCTTTTTTTTAGCTTAATACCATGTTTTAATGTCATTATCTCACTACAAGCATAGTTGGAGTGTTGCCTTGATTCTTCAATGTGTGTTTGAGAAATCCTCGAATCTCCCATGGTAACCATTCAGGGTTTCCGCAAGTGCTTGCTCTCACAAAGTGCCGCCTATTTCCACAGAGCTCCTCCTCAGAGCTTGTTGTAAACAACACAATGGAAAGGCATTGTTGTGATGAAGTCCCAAAGGCAGAGTGTTGGAAAAAGCAGGAGCTTCTTAAAGAGACATAGTCCCAATTTCATGGCGTCAAATTGCAATGTCAAATTTCTTTCAAGTCACGTCTGATATTCACAGCATTTTTTATAAAAACTGAAGGCAATAGTTACTCAGTTATGCTTTAAAATGGCACATAGTGGCTAGAAAATGCATCACCGCCCCTTTAAAAGTTCAATTTGCAGTTGGCCGCAAGCCACGTAAGAGTCAGAGCAAACCACCAGATCGGACCAAAACAGAGCTTTTTGGCCCACATGCAACACCCCATGTGAGTGGGAAAACTAACAACCTGAACACACACAATCGTCAGCTTAAAACATGGTGGTGGCAGCATCATGGTGTGGTTATGTTTGTTTGTCTAAAAGAGGTAGGAAGATGGGTGGAGTTAAATGCAGGTCAGTCAAATATAGATTTACAACATTAAAGAGATCTTACTATCTTTATATATGTATGTATCACAGGCACATTGTGCAGGACACAGATCATAAAAAGCCTCATACTTTACCTCCACATCTCCTGAAAGCTCACTCTGCCTCTTCTGTTCAGCAGCTACAGGCTCGATGCACAACATTCTACTGACTTCAGTGTTTTCTTTTGACACTGAGGCCGACTGTGTGAATCCATGAATAACGCTTAAAGCCCCAGGTTGCAATAAGTCTTAAAGGAGCGTGGGGGGGAGGGGGAAAGATGAGCAGGCTCAAGGTCATACGATTCCCGGCGGTAACCTGAACCAGGAAGCGGCGTTGGAAACCACCCATCCTGTGGGAAGGAGTAGCTGCCGCTGGTTTACAGGGAATTCACGCGCAGCGGTCACGCTGCTTCTCCCACCACTATGTTCCATTGTCGCTAGGCGCCGCGGCAACCAGAAAACAGTTTACAGTTCGGTCCGACTGACAAAACCTGAGGAGCATGTTAAGTTCGTCAGGCGACAGTTTAGACTGTCATCTGCTGAGGGAGTGGGAGGGAAGTGTGTTTGAGAAAAGATCCCAGCATCCCCTTTTATTTGTGTTTCTCAGTGTGTGTGGCCCGTCTCATTACAATGCCGACACCTCGTTCTGCTGTCTTTTGACCTTGTGAGACAGACAGCTGTGGCAGATGTCTCCCATCAGGCTTGTGCCGTCCACCCCCGACATCTTTGATATGACAAACCTGCTGGCAGCCCTCCCTGGGTAGTTGTTTGAAGAAAAAGGCTTTAAAGAGAGCAGATTTGTGTGAAGCGAGTCGTGGAAACGCCTCGCATCAAATAATGTTTTTCTACCTGAACAGCTCTCGAATCCACAACAATTAGAGTGCTTCGATAAAGGGGCAGTTCAGAATTATGTAGTAAGGTTTTGCTAGAAAGTTATTAGCATTTTTTTTTTTATGTAGGTCAGTTATGACAGAAAGTCTTCCTATTTTCATTTAGGGTGAAGATGAGTTGTTTCTTAAGGATGAAACTAAATACTAAATAGGAGACAACACATCTACCATCTTAACCCTCCAGTCACAAAAATGTAATTATACTTTATTTTACGTTATCAGGTTTTCATTGAGACTTCACACAGAAGTTGATGATGATTTACACAGGATATGAAGGCAGGAGGCGGTGCGCCATCAGGGATCTTCCTGTGTGAAACATACTGAGAGCAGAACATGTAAAGCATTTTCGGTCCCGTTTCACACAGGAAGTTCATTGGTGGCACACTACCTCCAACCTCCATATCCTGTGTAAAGGTTAATTGGTTCTCTGTTCCATAAATTAGCTTATGTATAACCAGCATGTTAGTTTTTAAGCAACACAAGTCCATTTTGCTATTAGTTCTTCCCAGATTGTATCTGGGTTTCAGTTTTTGGAGACCAATTAGTCTGGATTTATGCTTACTGAAAACCTGAAGTTTTTTTTTTTTTTTGCCCTCGCTAATATGTCACCTGCTTACAGCCTTTTAACAGAACCTTAATTCGAAAAATCCCAGACTATAGTTTTGAGAAGAAATATATAGTTTGTCATGGTGTGGATCGCCGCAGCAACTGTTGACATCATTTCTTAAAATCTTTTTTTGAAGCAATTGTCTTTAAAGCCATTTCCTGCTAAATCCAACACGAGTCTGAGAATTCAATAAATTCGGATTGAGAACATTATTTTCTCTTTGAAGCATGGTGAACTAACCAGAATGAGGGTAGAAATGTGATTTGGTGATGAAGATAAGGAACGGTATAAGGGTTCACCACAAATGGGCCATTGAAGCAGGTCGGTTGTGTTTTCTACCAAAGAGAAAGACCTTAGAGCATTTAAACGAGCAAGACAGTAAGACAAGAACAGTTTGGTAGCAATGAGTGTATGGATTTTATTTCCATGGTGCTGGTACATCTAAAACAGGTTCCACATCGGAACAGTTATGTGTGGTGCTTTGAAAAAAAGGTTGTGAACTTCTTTCAAGGAGTGCAAAAAAAAAAAAAAAACATTTTAGAAAAGCAAAAGAATAACAGAATGAGAAAACAGGGAATTGTTTATTGGATGTTTAGCTCTAAATCAAGAGTATGTGTGTGTCCTACTCAGTGTCGGTGCTTTTTATGTGTGCGCAGGCTATAATCTATGAGCTGTAAATGTTCCACATTAATGCGAGAGATGAAAAACGAGGGGAGGGGGGACTGTTACCGAACCCTAGAAAACTATTCCCTCCTAACCCTTTTTTCTCCAACACTTTGTTTTTTACAGGCTGCCATTTCCACTAGATTAGTGCCCAGGGTTTTAATTGCAGTTTATGAAGCTCATTTATTGGCCCGAGAGTTTGAAAGTTTGCGTAATGTGGCATCCAGTGAGGCAGGCAAGCATCCAAGCCACCCTGTGGTTTTGCATTTCTATTTTTTTTTCTCTCTCTCTCTCTCTTCCCAGCTCCGTTGTTTTCCTTCTGCCCTCCGCTCCCCCCACTCCCCCTACTTCTTTCTTTTTTTAACACCAGAATGTTTCTGGGCTCACCCGTACATGCTGCTGTTTTTATAGAGAATTAGCACTTCTCTACCCAGCACTAGCTGTGTGGCTCCGCACTGGAAGTGTTGCCTTTAAATCAGCCGCCCCCTTTAAAACCACAGAAGCACGTGCCAGGAACGTTTAGCACACAGAGGCGAACGTCTCTCGTGGCTCCAACCAAAGCAGTTAGTTGTAGGACTAATAAACCGAACGAGCACACGTTGCGTTGTTGACCCATGATTTTCCCTAAATATCCGTTTCGCTTCCAGTTTCTCTTTCTTTCCTCCCTTGCGTCGTCCCCTCTGTGGCGTTCCAGTGGCACCCTGGAGGCTAATTAAGCCTTAATTACATTTGTTGGAATTGATTTGTGATTTAGTCTTTCCTCTGTTGTTCCAGCTCATTGGCCCCCGTAGAAATGTCATTAATGCGCCATTATTTTCACGGGCGGTCTAATTAAAGGGACATACTCCCTGGGTTTCCTCTGATGAGACACGAGGAAGGGGAGCATGTTGGCAACTGGCACCCTGAGGATCCAAAATGGAAGACCCAGCGGGAAGACCATGTCAAACAGTTGCATGTATAAGTACAGAGATGCTGTGTACACAGGGGTAGGCAGGGTTGGAACCAGCATCCCATTCACAGTGCTTAACATGAATGATGAGACTTATTTAACTGGGTGGTTTGGGTCTAGATGGAGACACTCGCTGGTCGATTAATATGACCTGCATTGTACAATGATAATGGTTTACTTGAAGGATTCAGAAGATTGTTTGTTAGTCTAGGAGTTTCTGCATAAGACGGGAAAGCAGAGTTAGCAGAGTTCCAAGATAAGCACAATACTGATGTTTTGAATTTCTGACTTTCGGAAATGCAACAAGAATCACCAGCCGCCTTTACATCGATGATGCTTGTGTGGAAACAGTGTTGGTCATCAAACACTTCAGAGATTGTCAAAAAAAAAAAAGAAAAAGCATGGCAGTGTCTCTGTTTTTTGTGGATTCTAAGGAAAACCCACTTGAATCCACAGTTGATGAGATCTGTCTGCAGACCGACAGAAGAGAGTCATATGACTGTATTTTTGTTTGGTTCTCTGGATGTTCTGCGGGAGACATAAAAGCTTTGGAAAGAATAGTTTACTCTGCAGAAATAAATATTGGACGTCTTCTTCCTTCCTGTCTCACATCACCAAGAGGCGTACTTCATCCAAGACAAAGGACATCATCAGACACGTCACCCATCCTGGTTATCATTTGTTTGATTTCCTTGCTTTTTGGTAGGGGATACAGGTCTGTCACAACCAGAACTTCTAGATTTTTAAGGAATTTCTTCCCATATGTTGTGAGAGTATTGAATGATTATTGATTGGGGTCTTAAACTAGATTGGCGTTTGATTAAATTTCCCCCTTTTATCTTGTTTTAGGGTTAGGGTTACACGTGTACCCATTGTGATGCATTCTGAATCTCGCTGGGCTCAGTGACAATAAAAAGCTTTCGACAGAGAGGACATCCTTGGAGAGAGGTAAGTGTACTCATGTGAATATTTAATTTTTATGGAGTAGATAAGGTGATAGTTAAGTATGCTGATCCATTTAAACAAGGATGAATAGGTTGAAGGCATTGAAAACATTTGGAGGGGTGAACGTTTTCCGCAGCCACAACCAATCAATGGGTAAAAATGGGACGTCTTACAGGTTTTCATGAGCTGTGTCCTTAATGACGGCTTTAAACTATCATACCCTTTGACAGGAACAACCAAGACAAGAAATAACAACAAAACAACCTAGAACCACCTCGGACATGACAACGTCTAACAATGTTATGGAGCTTTGGTCGCAGATCTTATTCAGTATTTTGGCTTTTTCTTGTCTGGAATTATGTAAAAGCTGAGTTGACATATTAACTAGTGAACATATGGTCGACAAGTGATAAGTGGTAACAATCTTAATCCCCCCCACTGAAAACAGCGGAGGGATTACCTGCTTTAAGAATGTCTGTAAGCACATCCCAATCACCCTCTTGTGTTGAAGGAAAGACAAATATAAGCTTTATGACGGAGAGATAAGGATAGGACTGGAGAATATCTGAAAGACATATCACTTAATGACAGTTAATATTGATAATTATTAATTAGCTTTTTGTTTTAAATATCTAAATACTGCCAAACTGGTGGTGTGACTTTTCCTGATCTATCCACATGGTTTCACTCCACGCCATTGTTTTTCATTTTTAAGCAGTTAAACCTTAAACTGCTGCTGTGCAAGTTACTCAACAGGATTTTTGCTACGTAACCAAAGAGTAACTGAGTGAGTTGATGCCACCCACCTTTTTAAAGGCACACGGGAACTGAAGTGTGTCATTTTTGGGGTGGTTGATCCACATGTCTTTCTTTAGAAGTTAAACTATGCTAATAAGTTAATGCTAATAGGTTTGCTCTAGACTTCAAATCCCCTCCAAATATGGTTTTCTCATTGCATAGTTTTGTTATGTTTAACAAACAAACAAACAAAAAAAGACTTATGGCCCAGTGACTTTACAGTCCAATTGTCTAAAACTACTGTACATCTGTGCTACAGACAATGTCCACAGCAAGAGCTGAATAAAAAACACCTGATGGAGCCAAGGAGCTTCAGCCACGGTTTTCTGAGCCGTGAGTCCAGATAAAGGGGAACCGCCTCAAAGTATGAGAAGAATGCTAACCGGTCAAAATCAATTCTCAGCCATCAAACTAAGAAGAAGAAGAAGAAGAAGAAGAAGAAGAAGAAGAAGAAAAAAATGGTTTGCTCGCAATACACACAGAAAGCAAAAAATAATAATAATAAAAAAGAGAATATTTGGTTTGGAAATTGTTTGTAATTCTTTATTAAGGCTGACGTTACCTCGAGGCGGCCTTTGAGTTTGAGGAAGAGGAGGCCCTCTGCAAAGCATTCACATGTGGAAGGTCAAAGATTAGTTTTTTTTCACATGGCTTTTCTTTCTTTTTTTCTTTCTTTTTTAACACACTGTTAAGATCTACTCTATCCCCGGCCTGCTACCTGCCTGCCGTTCAATTTTGGTGCAGTCCTATCAGTCGTCTCCGTGTGCCCTTTTCTGTCTGTCATGATTGTGTATGGGACTCAGTCCAGTGTGTTGGCAGGCAGGCCGACGGGTGTGTTGGACAACTGCTTCACAGTTGGCTGGCCCAGTAAGAAGGGAGGTGTACGAGGGGGTGAGAGAGAATGAGAAAATAGAGCGGAGGGGAGGGAACATCAGAGGTGGAGACAGAGCGGGAGAGCGGGGAATGGGGTCACTTGAGTTTGTTGTTTATAGGATATCAGGCTTTCTCTCCACCCCATTTGGTAGTCTGACTCCTCTCCTGCCTCCTGTTTCTTCCAAACGGCCATCTTTGGGAGTGTTACTGCAGCGAAAACGTCCAGCAGAGGAGAACAAGAGGCCATGTTTTCAGACGGCTCAGTCGAACCTCGAGTCATCCGTTTTACATCACAGCAAAACTTGCAAAAAAACATCCCATCTTGGGAGGCAATACCTAAGATTCTCCAGGTTGCTTGAATGACATCAACACCCTACCCTATTTAGTGACTCTGTTAGGGGGTTTTAATCATCGCTCATAAGGAGTTCTTCTTTGTTTTTCTGTCCAAACCCCTGTGATTGCTGAGTCATCTGGAAAAATCAGCACTCTAGCATTCTTTATTCTTGGGCAGTACAGCATAAGGGAGCTTCCATTTTTAGCCTCACGGCAAATTACATTAAGCCACAGTTCAATGAGTGCTAATGCTTTGAAAGTAACAAAAATTGACAGAAAGGGGTAGAAGTTTTGCCTCGTCGCTCGGGTTTTCTCCCAGCCAGCCAGGCCTCCCCCTGTTTCAGCTCCGCTCCCGCTGCAGCGGCCGGTACGCCAGGGGTTAAACCTGTCTGCTGCCCACATCTGGGAGTAATTTGAAACATTCCACAAGTCTTACCACATGTTTTCAGATGGACTAAATCCTGCGAAAGGCTCGCCTGTCAGAGGGGTTGAGAAAAATCATCTTTCTCTCTCTCTCTTTTTTCTTCCCCCTCCAGTAGGAGGGGGGGAAAAAATGAGGAGAAAATTAAAAGTAAATAACAGGTTTAATGTTCTTGCAGGTGAGTCCAAAGGTACCGATGTGGTTGGGTGTTCTGGGCTTGTTCGTGAAACTGGTGGCAGCGACAGCCCCCCCCCCCATCCTCAGGTTCCGGTTCCCCTGTTGCATGTTACTAGAACGTGTTCCAAAAGAAAGCCGATTCTTAATGGCTATTTGCAAGTAAAAAAAAAAAAACAATAACAACAAAAACAAAACTGTCCTTGAGGCTTAGCTAACTGTTTCCATGCGGCTGATACCATCTTGTCTGCGCTCTTACACTCTCTCCCTGGCGCATTTCTTTTTTATTCTTCACAGTCTGGCACCGTAAAGCCGACCGATGTGAAAACCCTGTAGCCTTTCAGCACGCCTCCAGACACGCAGGCGTGAAAGGCAAAATTAGCTTCTGGTACAGTAGGATGTGTTTTTTTTTTTTTTTTGTGTCCATGCAAGTACAAAGATTTTTTTTAATTGTGTAACTCCTACCTAGCTTCAGATTTTGACTTTTTTTGTCTAATCAAAATTTGAAAGAGGAACCATATATTTCCCCAGTGTCGGCGGCTTCCTATTTACTCCGGAATATAATTTAAGATTCTCCTTCTTACATATAATCAAGTTCTGTTTTTCTCTTCATAGAAGCTGCATCAGGCCCAACAACTGAGGGAGGTATTGCTGAAGCTAACCGATAGGTGCTTATTTTACATTTTACACCCAGCTTAAAGCTTATATGTTTAGCTGTGTTTCTCTTGTAGATGAATCCAACGGAGGATTTATTGTTTTTTTATTTGTTGTTGTTTTTCCATAGAAAATACTCTTGTACATGCTCTGGCTTCATATCAGTCAGTTGTGATCAAAAACTGAATGCTGTTTTTGGAATTCTGCTAGAAGTCTGAAGATGAACATGAGTTCCATTTACCAGCATCCAAGCAACTTTTAAGACAACCCCAAAAAAACAATGGCTTCAGGAGACGATAATGAATGCTTTTCAAATGACTTCGACAAAGAACTAAATCAGGCAGAGGATGTCTGCGAGAGATCCTCACAACCTGACGGATTTGGAGAACTTCTGGAGGGCAAATATTGTCAAATCAAGATTTAGGACGCCCCATAAACTCCAACTGAAGACGACTGAATGCTGAGAATGTTCTTCAACAAAGAGAGTTCAAATCAGGCAGCCAGGTTATTGCAGCGTTTTACTGTTCATAGTTTTCCATTCTCCAGATTTGTTTGTTTTTCCTCTGAATAATGCAGGATGTGTGTCACATCAACGGTGGGATTTCAATGATTTATGGTGGTCAGGTCTTGTACCCTGGAATAATGTTGTTTTAACAGCAGAGAGTGGAACATTTATATCCACTGTTACATTATACTCAACTTTACCTCACAAACAGACACATCACAGCTCTACAGTCTGGTGACATACAGGCAGGGCTCAGGCTTGGTCTTAATAAGTTCACGGCTCTCTATATCTCTCTATCTCCAGAAATGTAAACACACTCGGTAGACTGTTAAATTGTCACAACTTCATAAAAAGTTCAACACCTATTTTTTCTTTCTTTTTGACCTTCAATGTTAATACAACAAAAAAAAGTGAATAAATTGGTGAGGGAGATGTTAAAAACAAAAGCTCTGAACATCTTGAATCAATTATAAAGAATCTGAACTGGCTTGGAATAAAATTCAGCTGTCTATGAAGAATTTTCCTGATATTTGTTTTTATGTCCTTCTAGTCAAAGCAATATTCTTCAGAGAGGTTCCAGAGGGTGGAAATAATTTTATTGTAAAGCAGTATGAGTCAGAAGATCAACACACACACAAATACACAGCCTTATACGCTCATATTCAGTAAATTAGTAAATTGAGGTTTGCCTGTCAGATTAAAAGTATGTTTTGAAAACAACCTTTAAGCAAGTATTAAATCTATTTTTCAGTAAACCCACATTTCTGTGTTATGTTTTTTTATTTGTCTGATGTACTATTTTAATCCTAAATGTTGTTTTTCTTAGCTGTGAATGGAAAAATCATCATAAATAACTAAAATAAAAGCTTGATAGCAGAATTCTGTTTGTAATTGATCTACATAACATGTTTCACTTAATGAACCGAGTTACTGAGATTAATTAATGTTTAATCAACATTCAAATTTATTGAATATTACCGTATAGCTCGTTACTGTGGAAACATTTTTCAGAAAGTGAAGGAAAAATGAGAGAAACACGTCAGGACTAGAATTTCATGCATATTTTTCTAAAAAAAAAAAAAAAAAAAACATTCAGTTTGATCAACCTCGTGAGAAAGAATGTTGTTTTTTTATGAAACAAAAGTGAAATTTTGGGGGCACATTTCAAAAACTGTCTTTTGGACCAAGTGCAACACATGTCATCACCAAAGCAGTGCCATACCCAACATGATGGGGACAGCCTCTTGATCTTCATATGAAACCAGGGTTTTCATTGTAGTGGATGAAATTCTGAACTCTTCCAAATATTTATTAAGTTTCGTCCTAAAACCTCTAGTGGTCCTCTCCACATTTGGGATCCAGCATGTTTACAAGGGTGTGTACACTGTTTTAGATCCACTGCATACTAGATGGACTGGCTCATCTTGACATCAAGCCCCTGGCTCTCAGGTTTCCCCAGAGCATTGTACACTGTAATTACCCACAGACATTCAGGAAGCTGCAAATGTTTCTGCTGGGTGAGAGTGACACCCTACACAGTTGGGGGCCCCGCTTGGTCTCTAACACCCTGTCCATTTCTTTGTAATCCAGGACAAGACATGTGGTATGTGGGCCCGTGCTGGGGGTTAAAAGCATTATCAGGCTGGCTAATGTTACTACACTTTGGAAATAGCCGCAGACTTTCACACGGGACGGTAAACAGGCGAGCAGCATTTGAAGGCTGAAACTGGGCACCTGTTTACAGGGCTGCACCAGATCTCATGTAACCAGGAAAATGAGAGTCTCAGTGGCATCATCAATGGCCGTCTACAGGGATTATTTATCTCATACATGGTGTTTCAGATTAGACCAATAAATCTGATTTTTTTTTTTAATTCAGATATGTGCCTACCACCGGTTTAAAGGTCAAAGAGGCAGTATTTTGTGTTTTCCAGACATATAGTATCATTTTATAGCACAATCATGTGTAACTGTTACCTTCACGTTGTTTTGATCAAATACGACTTTAAAAACGTTTGCAATTGAACACCTTGAAATTTGAGTCT